AAAAAAAAAAAAAAAAAAAAAAAAAAAAAAAAATCAAAATGATTCCAATTCAAGGAAATGAAAAATAATCCTGCCTACAATACCTTCAAACTTATGCGTGACAATGACATGATCGTCCGAATGAGACAGCATTTGCCCCCTGTGAACTTTGACTCAGAACGTTACTGAAGTGAACAGTTTAGCCATTTATTAACAGTCGTCATATTCTAAGAAAGCAAAAAAATTTCACGAGTTTTTCATAAAAAAGTAATGATATAAAATAAAGCTACTCCACTAAAAAGTAGCGCTCCTAATCAGTTACATCGTGCCAATTTATACGCCACTCTCAATTAGTATACCATAAACACACAACAGTACTGAAGGGCATGCATAACAATAGACTATATCGTACCATATTACCCAACCAAAAATTATGATTACTAAAACGAGCCGCGAAGACAGCCCGTTACCCACAGTAACCTATGCTCCCTTGCAATACCTATAAACAGCATACTTGATGAGCCTTCTGCAACATAGGAAATGCCACCACTGAAAAATATAACTCTCTTTTACTTCAAGACTATTGCTTTTCGAATAAAGAGGCAGAAGGCAAAAAGACCAATACGGATGAGAAATGAATTACCAATATGACAGCATATTCCTAGCCGTTTGGTGGAAAATAATTTCCAGAGGACCTATTGCCAGAAAATGGTGCTTGAACATAATTTTGCAAAAACCACGAACAAGTGTATGAGAGAGTCCATTACTGATTTGGTGCAAAAATCTTTCTGCATAGAGCGTAGGGAATACGGTAGCGCTCTTGAGTGACCGCTAAGGTAAATTTTACTTTAAGTCAGGACTTTTTGACTGACTTACTCTAAAAGTTCCCCACTTATTTAAAAGCCATTTTATTCCCCATATCCGCGACTACATCCTCACTACTAAATTTTAGTGAATTTTGTTGCCCTCAGTGAGTTATTCGCTAAAATTTGATTGCAAAGCTGATTTTTTTCTTTATTGCTCGTCGCTCCTTTCTCTGGTGAAACAACAAAACAAATGCTTTCCGCCCATAATCTCAGTACTTTTTTTCGAATCTTTAGGTTTATAAAGTCTGAATCTTAAGCCAGCAAAGCAATTTTGTAAAGTGAAAAAGCCTGCTCGCTTAGAAGTTTTCTACATAAACAGGGACAAAGGTTTAATTCAAACATAACTGGTATATTTCTTCCACTCCCAGTATCCAATTTAGGTCCATACTGTCTGTTCTCTCTTACCTTCTGAAAACAAAACATTTTCCACTTTGTATTCCGGTCATTCCGCTCCTTTTTCTTTACTGTTCTCGCATTGGTTTTTGAG